CAATTCCAGACTTCAGGGATCCACAAAAAGTGAAAGAGTTTCTACAAGAAAAACATGAAAAGAAAAGATGGTATGTCCCGCCAGAACAGGCCAAAGTGGTGGCATCAGTGCATGCATCTATTTCAGGGTCCTCTGCCAGTAGCACAAGCAGCACACCTGAGGTCAAACCACTGAAGTCTCTTTTAGGGGATTCTGCACCAACATTGCACTTAAAGAAGGGTACACCAAGTCAGTCCCCAGTTGTAGGTCGCTCTCAAGGGCAGCAGCAGGAGAAGAAGCAGTCTGACCTTTTGAGTGTTCTTGGCTCAGACATCTTTGCCGCTCCAGCTCCTCAGTCAACAGCTACAGCCGATTTTGCTAACTCTGCACATTTCAACAGTCATGCAGCTCAGAATTCTGCAAATGCAGATTTTGCATTTGGACAGTCTAGTGGTTCGAGTAATTTTGGAGGTTTCCCCACAGCAAGTCATTCTCCTACAGGTGGAAGTGCTGGATCCATAAATGCTAATTTTGCTCATTTTGATAACTTCCCCAAATCCTCCAGTGCTGATCTTGGAAGCTTCAATACTTCCCAGAGTCATCAAACAGCACCAGCTGCTTCTAAAGTTTCAACAAACAAAGCTGGATTACAGACAGCAGACAAATATGCAGCACTTGCTTATTTAGACAATATCTTCAGTACTGGGCAAGGTGGTGATCAGGGAAGTGGCTTTGGGACCACAGGTAAATCTCCTGTTGGTTCTGTGGTTTCAGTTCCCAGTCAGTCAAGTGCATCTTCAGACAAGTATGCAGCCCTGGCAGAACTGGACAGCGTTCTCAGTTCTGCAGCCACCTCCAGGAATGCGTATACTTCCACAAGTAATGCTAGCAGCAACGTTTTTGGAACAGTGCCAGTGGGTGCTTCTGCACAGACACAGCCTGCTTCTTCAAGTGTGCCTGCTCCGTTTGGAGCTACGCCTTCCACAAATCCCTTTGTTGCTGCTGCTGGTCCTTCTGTGGCATCTTCTCCAAATCTATTTCAGACCAATGCCAGAGGAGCAACAGCGGCAACCTTTGGCACTTCCATCCATGAGCATGCCTGCGGGGTTCGACACCCCTGCTCCCTATAGTCTTCCCACCGGCTTTAGTGGCAGCTTCCAGCAGCCTGCTTTCCCAGCCCAAGCAGTTTTCCCTTAACAAAACAGGTTTTTCTCAACAGCCCAGTGGTGCAGGTTTTGCAGCATTTGGACAAACAAAGCCAGTGGTGACCCCTTTTGGTCAAGTTGCAGCTGCTGGGGTATCTAGTAATCCTTTTATGACTGGTGTACCAACAGGACAATTTCCAACAGGAAGCTCATCAACCAATCCTTTCTCATAGCCTTACATGGACACTTTACTGGAACGAACTTTTATGTGGTCACATTACATCTCTCCACCTCTTGCACTGTTGTCTTGTTTCACTGATCTTAGCTTTAAACACAAGAGAAGTCTTTAAAAAGCCTGCAATGTGTATTAAACACCAGGTAATATGTGCAAAACCGAGCACTCCAGTAACACTTTTTAACCTGTGAATTGGCAGAAAAAGGTAGCGGTATCGTGTATATTAAAAATTGGCTAATATTAAGTTATTGCAGATACCACATTCATTATGCTGCAGTAACATTCATTATGCTGCAGTACTGTACATATTTTTCTTAGAAATTAGCTATTTGTGCATATGAGTATTTGTAACTTTAACACATTGTTATGTGAGAAATGTTACTGGGGAAATAGATCAGCCACTTTTAAGGTGCTGTCATATATCTTGGAATGAATGACATAAAATCATTTTAACTGTTGCTACTGGAAAGTTACAAAATCAAAATTGGAAGGTTTTATTCATTCTTGAATTTTTCCTTTCTAAAGAGCTCTTCTATTTATACATGCCTAAATTCTTTAAAAATGTAGAGGGATACAGTCTGCATAATAAAGCTGATCATGTTTTGCTACAGTTTGCAGGTGAAAAAAATAAATACTAGGAAAAAAAATCGTAAAGACAGCGGTCACAGATATTGCCAAGATGTGGTTACTGTTTTCGTTGTAGAAGTTCCATATCCTGGAAATTCTTTAGTGAGCCAAGAAAAAAGGAAAGGAAATAAGTTTTTTTAAAAAAACAAAACAGTTGAAAGGACAATAGCTACCTATGCAAAACCCCATTCTTCTGGGTTGGTAGCCTACAGACTCTTAAAGAACAGAGCAAGTCTGATGTGTTACATGGTTACTGAGCAATTAATTCCTTCTGCAGTTGTCTTGTGTATTGCGTCTGCTTCATCTCTAATGAGCAAAGTGTGAGGTCACTGACATGACAAAAGTTACGAGGCCAGGATGAGAGGTACCAGAGGCCTGGGCTCCATGTGGGTGCTCTCCCTAGCTCATCCTCCACGGGAAATGAGCCTCCACACATCATTGTTGGGGATGAGGGACTGCAACTGCTGATTTAGCTGACTCTCAAACTGTACCGCTGCGGAAGGAAGAGCAGATACACGAGGTTGTGTGGCATGGGGGACAGCTCAGGCCTCAGGCTGCTCAACTCCCACTGCATTTCATTGGTCTGTCTGATAGGGAAAACGGAATCGATGACAAGTGCAATGGAGTCAGCCTCGGAAGTGTTCATGGGGTCTTCAGAGATAGTGCCCTCCGAAACAATGGGATTTTCCACAAACATGTTTTCTCCATAAGCAGTGCCTCATGTGGGGTTTTCAGTAGTTTTTCTGTAGTTGGCTCTGAAAGAGCAAATAATTCTGGAAAAGGGTTTTGCTGAGGGCTTGGGTCTCCTGAAGGTGAAAAAGTCCCATGCAAGGGTGAGTTGAGGCTTCTGACTGCAGGGAAACAGGCCTCTTGACAAGCATCAGTCCACCGAGTGAGCCTTCCTTCCTGAACTGCCGATATTCCTTAGCCTTGGGTGCTCTGTGGATCACCTGGAAGTGAGTTTCATGAACGTGGTATTTTTTTCTGGGTTGTAAAACTGGATTGAAGGCCTTCATGCTTTTAACTGTCATATTGGCATCATCTAAAACAATTTTGTCAAGTCTTTTGACTCATTTTGATCCCCAGACAGGGCTTTCATGGAGGTGTCTGGGTGCACACTGATGTATTGTATGGAACGTGGCCCACCAGCTCCTAGGACCTCTCCACCCTGTGGGGCCATTCCGGCTCCCTTGGGTCTGGCCTCCTGTGCCACCTTTCCTCGACTGCATGCTCCACAGATGGCTGGGTGTCCTGTTTCCTTCTGATGCGCTGATCTTGAAGTGTCTTCTTGAGGCGCCTTTTCTTAATGCCCCTGGGCCCCTTGATGACCATGTCTACGGTCTGCAGCCTTTTCCTGACACCCTGGGTCCTGCTAGGCTGTTTTGTGTGGCCTGGCCGTTTCCAACTTATCTGGAGAGACTTGGTGTTTAAATTCGGGATCTGAGGCTAGGCTTTATCAGCATGGCAGCTCTTTCTTTCTTTTTGACCTCGTGGAATTTTTCTTGAATTTCTGCATCTAAGCAATTTTCTAGAAGATAGAGCCTCCTCAATTCACTTTTGTATGTTGGACTGTTGGACGACAATTCTAGAGAGGGGTGGTCTGCTTTTCAAAAGATCCGGGGCTCCATTTTGAATATTTGAAAAAAGTTTGGTAGCAATGTTGATTACACATCCTCTAGTTTTCCTTGTGAGAAACAAGGCAAGATATAATTGAGTGTGGTGATGACATCGCTTTCCTCACAGAAGACCATCGGCTTCTTCATGAAGCCTGACAGACTGAAGCTCCTCTTCTGAGAGCATCTCTGGCTCAATAATCAGCTCAGGGCATACTACTGAGCAATTCCTTCTGCAGTTTATCTTATGTATTGGGTCTGCTTCATTCTCTAATGAGAAAAGTGTGAGGTCACTGTCATGGCCAAAGTTATGTGACCAGGACGAGAGGTACCGTAGCCCTGGGCTCCGTGTGGGTGCTCTCCCCAGCTCATCCTCCCTGGGAAATGAGCCTCTGCACATCATTTTTGGGGATGAGGGGCCGCAGCTGCTGATTTAGCTAACTGTCAAGCTGGTCCACTGGGGACAAGAAGAGCAGATACATAAGGCTCTGTGGCATGGGGGACAGTTCAGTTCTTGGGTGGTTCAACTTCCACTGCATTTCTTTGGTCTGTCTGATGGGCAACAACGTATCGAAGGCATGTGCGATTGAGTCAGCCTCTGAAGTGTTCATGGGGTCCTCAGAGATAGTGCCTTCCGGCACAATGGGGTTTTCCACAAACATGTATTCTTGAATAGCAGTTCCTGATGTGGGGTTTTCTATAATTTTTTCTGCGATTGGCTCTGAAAGAGCAAATGTTTGTGTAAAAAGGGTTTTCCTGAGGGCTCAGGTCTCCTGAAGCTTAAAAAGCCAGCTGCAAGGGTGAGTTGATGAGGTTTCTGACTTCAGGGAACGGGTCTTCTTGGCAAGCATCAGTCCACCGAGTGAGCTTTCCTTCCTGAACTTCTGCCACTACTTAGCCTTGGGTGCTCTGTGTATCACCTGGAAGTGACCTTAATGAACGTATTTTTTTTCTGATATGTAAAACTGGATTGGAGGCCTTCATGCTTTTAACTCTCATATTGGCATCATCTAAAATAAATATGTCAATTCTTCTGACTCATTTTGATCTCTAGACAGGGTTTTCATGGAGGTGACTGGGGACACACCCATCTATTGTATGGAAGAGACCACAAGGTCTTCTGCACCTATGTGAACAAGGGCAGTGTGGAAGAGGCTACCCACCAGCTCCTGGGGCCTCTGCACCCTGTGGTACCAATCTGGCTCCCTTGGAGCTGGCCTCCCATGCCGCCTTTTCTCGGCTGTATGCTCCACACATGGCTGGGTGTTCTATTTTCTCCTGAGGCGCTGATCTTGAAGTGCCTTCTTGAGATGCCTTTTCTTAATGCCCTGGGCCCCTTGATGACCATGTCCACAATCTGCAGCCTTTTCCTGACACCCTGGGTCTTTCCTAGGCTGTTTTCCTGTGGCCTGGTTGTTTCCAACATATCTGGAGAGACTTGCTATTTACATTCAGGATCTGAGGCTAGGCTGCATCAGCATGGTAGCTCTTTCTTTTTGACTTCGTGGAATTTTTCTTGAATTTCTGCATCTAATCAATTTTCTAGAAAACAGATCCTCCTCAATACACTTCTGTAAGTTGGATTGTTGGATGACCATTCTAGAGAGGGGCTGTCTGTACTGCCTTTCACAAGATCCGGAGCTCGATTTTGAACATTTGACAAAAGGAGTTTGGTAGCAATGTTGATTACACATCCTCTAGGTTTCCTTGTAGGAAACAAGGCAAGATATAATTGAGCGTGGTGATGACATCACTTTCCTCACGGAAGTCCATCGGCTCATTCATGAAGCCTGACAGGCTGAAGCTCGTCTTTTCTGAGGGCATCTCTGGCTCAATAATCAGCTCAGGGCACACTATTGAGCAATGTCTTCTGCAGTTTGTCTTGTGTATTGGGTCTGCTTTGTTCTCTAATGAGCAAAGTGTGAGGTCACTGTCATGGCCATACTTACGTGGCCAGGATAAGAGGTACCGTAGCCCTGGGCTCTATGTGTGTACTCTCCCCAGCTCATCCGCGAGAGGAAATGGGCCTCTGAACATCATTTTTGGGGATGAGGGACTGCAGCTAATGATTTAGCTGACTCTCAAGCTGGTCCGCTGGAGACAAGACCAGGTACAAGAGACCTTGTGGCATGGGGGACATCTCAGGCCCCGGGTGGCTCAACTCCCACTGCATATCTTTGGTCTGTCTGACAGGCAACATGGTGTCGAAGGCATGTGAGAAGGCATGTGAGATACAGTTAGCCTCGGAAGTGTTCATGGCGTCTTCAGACATAGTGCCTTCCAGCACAAAGGGTTTTCCACAAACATGTTTTCTCAATAAGCAGTTCCTGATGTGGCGTTTTCTGTAATTGTTTCTGTAGTTGGTTCTGAAAGAGCAAATAATTCTGGAAAAGGGTTTTCCTGAGGGCTCGGGCCTGCTTAAGGTGCAAGAGCCCCCTTCAAGGATGAGTTGATAAGGTTTTGACTGCAGGGAACGGGGCTTCTTGCCAAGCATCAGTCCACCGAGTAAACCTTCCTTCCTGAACTTCCGACTCTCCTTGGCCTTGGGTGCTCTATGGATCACCTGGAAGTGACTTTTATGAACGTGGTATTTTTTTTCTGGGTTGTACAACTGGATTGGAGGCCTTCATGCTTTTAACTCTTATGTTGGCATCATCTGAAAGAAATATGTCAAGTCTTTTGACTCATTTTGATCTCCAGACAGGGCTTTCATGGAAGTGACTGGGGGCAAACACTTCTATTGTATGGAAGAGATCAA